GAAGCAGGCTCAGGGTGGCACCCAAGCAGGCTCAGTTTCACACACACCCTGCTCCTTTCCCCCACACCCTGCTCCTTTCCCCCACCTGGCCTCCAAGAAGTCCTTCAGCAAGGCTCTGAGACACCCTGAGTGGAGGCCACCATGGGGAAGGATGTGGGGGGAGTGGCCGGCCAACCTGGGTGGAGAGCTGGTAGCAGGAGGGACGGGAGGAGAGAGGTGGTGGGACCTTAAGAGCAGAGGCTGAGTTGGGGTGGGTGGGTGAAAATCTGAAGAAACAAAGGCAAGCAGGGCCTTCTGAGGACAAGGACACTCTGCTAAGGACAGAACAAAGTTCAGCCAGGCACCTTTAAGACCAACAAAGTGTTATTGAAGGTATAAGCTTTCATGTGTGCAAGCACACTTCCTCAGATACAGTGAAATGAAAATTACCAGTCCATACATACAGGTAGAGGGTGAGAGCAGTAAATTAGCATAAAGATGGTTGTGAACAGATTCAAGGACCAAACAGGAATAACATATAGATGAAGCTTAAAGGTGCCTGACTGGACCCAAACTTTGTTTTGCTGCTTCAGACCAACACGGTCAGCCACCTGAATCAGTTAAGGACAGTTTGTTAGGGATGCTGCAATGCACTGAAAGGGGGGGAGGTTATCTTGCGAGACAGCAGGGAGACCTGCATCCTCGCGACCCTTCTGGGTGGGAACTGGGGGCTCTGATAGAGACAGGCATGGCCTCTGTAATGTATTCATCTCCGACCGCGTACAAGGCTAGTCGCCACACGGTCATGTGAAGCTCGAGCTTCGCTCCCAGGGACAATGGCCCTTGCAGATCCTAGCCCACGCCAATCAGAGGGCTAGGCTCCCGGTCGAGAGCCCATGGAACTCTCGGCCACTGTAAATAGCCTATCACTGGTGTGTGGGGGGGGTGTTTGGGTATGGGGATTGTTGCACGTATAAGCCGGCCTGCGAGCCGGGAAAGTTGTCTTTTTTCTTTCCTGAAATAAAAGTATGAGAGCTGAAATCACTAGTAAGTCTCAGTACTTTTCAGTCTCTCTGGGAAGGTTTCACACCTGGCCTTTTCCTGGCCTTTCTGTTTTGCAGAGGAGAATTGCCAGCACATGGGGGTGCCTGAACATGGCTGTGACTTCCAGCAAACTCACGGGACACACACACACACACCCCAGACGCCTTCCCTAGGAAAGTGGAGCTGAGGCCGGGGGTCCAAAGTGCTCCGATGAGGCCTGGAGACAAATGCCCACGGAGGATCACCTGGCCGCCTATGGTTGCCAACTCCAGGTTGGGAAATTCCCAGATCTCCTGGCCATGGAGCCTGCAGAGGGCCCCCAGCAGGGGATAATGTCATACAGTCTACCCCCGGAAGCTGCCTCTGTCTCCTGGGGAACGGATCTCAGTCGTCTGGAGATTAGCGGTAATTCTGGGAGATCTCCAGGCCCCAGCTGGAGGTTGGCCACACTACCCCCACCCCATTGACCATCTTCAGCTTCAGGGATCCTTCTTGACTCTCGCCCTCTGGGCAGCGCCCCCTCCCCCACCCCGCCACTGGTGGTGCTGTATAGAAACCCAAAGGACTGTTGATCCTGGAATGGAGGAAGCTTTCTTGGAGGCAGTTTTGTTTCCGCTCGTTTGGGACCCTGGTGCCGGAGTTGTATGATTCAGCCAAGGCTTTTCTTTCATCAGGGACCTCTGCCAGTCGACATTTGCCAGAGGAGGGATCCATTCACCCCTTCATCCAGGGCAGAGACACAGGGACCCAGGGTTCCATGGGGCACGAGCAATGCTCCCTCTAAGCTGCGGAGTCTTGTGAGCAAAAATTCTGGTGCCAGAGTTGTATGATTCAGCCAAGGCTTTTCTTTCAACAGGGACCTCTGCCAGTCGACATTTGCCAGAGGAGGGATCCATTCACCCCTTCATCCAGAGCAGAGACACAGGGACACAGGGTTCCATGGGGCACGAGCAATGCTCCCTCTAAGCTGCGGAGTCTTGTGAGCAAAAATTCTGGTGCCAGAGTTGTATGATTCAGCCAAGGCTTTTCTTTCAACAGGGACCTCTGCCAGTCAACATTTGCCAGAGGAGGGATCCATTCACCCCTTCATCCACGGCAGAGACACAGGGACACAGGGTTCCATGGGGCACGAGCAATGCTCCCTCTAAGCTGCGGAGTCTTGTGAGCAAAAATTCTGCTTTGTGAGCTACTGGCATTAAAGTTGTGAGCGAGCGGTTTGGCTACTGCGTACGACGGTTTGCTCTGGAGCCAATCCTTCCTGAGCGAAGACAAAAACGTGTGAGCTGGAGGCTGAAAGACTGTGAGCTAGATGACACTAACTCAGCTTAGAGGGAACACTGGGCACGAGCTGTGCCTCAGCAGCAGAGCCTCTGCTTGGCATGCCGGAAGGCTCGGGGTTCTGTCCCTGGCAGACCAGGCAAGCTTCATGCCCTATGGTGACTGGAGTCTCCCAATTCTGCAATTTATCCAGAATTCAGGGAAGTTGACCAGCTAGCTAGGTGGTCACAGGGTAACCCATCTACAGTCTTTGCGAGCTGTGCCTATGGGGGAAGAGATGGGTGCAAATCATTTGTGAGTGGAGCGCAGAAGAAGCGGGATCAGCCCCTGCATCCCGCAGAGAGGGCGCCACCCTTGCTCCCTCTAAGCTGTGGAGTCCGGTGAGCAGAAACTCTCCTTTGTGAGCTACTGGCATTAAAGTTGTGAGCGAGCGATTTGGCTGCTACATGAATCAGTTTGCTCTGCAGCCCTCCTTCCTGACCTCAGACAAAAATCTGTGAGCTGGAGGCTAAATAAAACTGTGAGCTAGCTCACACTACCTCAGCTTAGAGGGAACCCTAGTGATGGGGCATTTTTTAAAAAATCCAGTCCGCCAATCCACCAGCAGCCCTGGATCCTACGGTCTACTCTGCATGCCACCGAAGGAGCCTGGCGCCTCTTGGGTCCTGCAGGGGGGAGCCAAGCCGGCTGCTCCAGACCTAACGTGTCCCTCTTTGAGAAGGTCCTGATCCCACCGCCTCCCCCCACTCCAGAAGGGGGCCGCCTGCACACTGCTGTGACTTCCAGCAAACTCAAGGACCACCCACCCCCCGCCAATCCTTCTGGGTCTCCGGCTCAGATTCCTGACACCCCTCGGAAGGGGGCAGGGAAGACTCCCAGAGGTGGGGCAGGAGAGGCCACCTTTGCAAAGCTCGGGGAACCCCTTGATGTGGCCCACTCTGGGCTGGAAAGTACCCGGAGCCGGTGGGGAGGAAAGGGGTCTGAGCAACGGGGAGAGGAGGCCACTATTGCCCTTGGGCTTCTCTTCTCTGCCTGCCCTTTAGTGGGGAGGGTGACCTACAAGGCCAGATGGACTGGGAATGGTGAGTGACCCATCCAGGGCCGGCAAGCCCAAAGTTGGGGGGGGGCTGAGGCCGGTGCTCTCCAACCTGGGGCGCTTCTTCATGCACTGGAAAGCACCCCGGCCAGCTCTCCAGTCTAGGGCTGCCAGCAGGCTGGAGAGGGGAAAAAATGCCCAGTCCCTTTAACCCAGGCTTCACAAGATGCGCATTACCAGGTGATGTCGCTGACGTCTATGCCCTGAGGAGCTTCAGCTGCGCATTTCTAGACTCGGCTAAAGTGACGGCAGCATTGCCTCCTAGGGTTGCCAACCTCCAGGTGAGGCCCTTTTTTTATGGCTGATCTCCAGACCAGCGACCAGTTCCCCTGGAGAACATGGCTGTTTGGGAGGGTGGACAATGTCCCAGGCATTTCCCTCCCCTGCTTCTGCCTTGGTTGCAAGTCGGCAGGCAGGCAGGCCTGGAGGTGGGCCGCGGGGGGGCCTGGGGCTGGCAGAGGAGGAGCGGCTGGAAGGTTCTCCGTATGGGCGGAGCCATCGGGGGGCGGGCCCAGAGCGCCCGTTAAGACCGGCACCGGTGGAGCCTGTCCTGCGGCTGAGCGGAGCGCAGTGCAGTGCGCCAGACCCAACGACCAGGAGTGCCCAGCGGGGAAGGTGCGCGCTTCTCTCCCCAATTCTCACACAAGGCTAACACAGTGTTCAACGCTTATAGCATCCCCCTCTTTCAGAATACATATATTACAGGGGTCATTTCCTGCTGGAGTGCAGTGGAGTGACGCTCTGGCAGTAAGGAGCTTGGGCACCCCCCCCCCCCCCGGGGAAGGGGGGGGGGGGGGGGGGGGGGGGGGGGGGGCGGGGGGGGGGGGGGGGGGAGCGCTGGGGCGCCTGCGGGCTCCTTCGTCTGCCTCTCCCTCGGCCGGGCGTCCGCTAGCCCTCCCTCCCTAAAGTGTCTCCTGCCTGCTGGGGTTCTGGGGCCGGGATTGGCCTCCTTCCACTTTTCCTCCGGAATTTGGCCTCTGTTCCGTTGCTCCCTGTGCAGCGACTGGGCTGCCCATGGAGGAGGGTGCCTGTTGCATCCCTGCAGGAGTTAATGAACCAGCCCTATTCACTTCCCCTTAGTCTGTGTTTTGGGGGGGTAGGTGTTGCTTCTCTGCACCCGGTGCTCCCCATGCAGAGTCTCCCTCCGCTCTTCAGAGGTGCTGGGCTCCTTACCTGCTGCTTCAGCTGGAGCAGCGCCTCATGTAGAGGGTGGGGTGTGGAGGGCAATCCCGTGCGAAACATGCCTCCACCCGTAATGCCGGGGGGGGAGACGTGCATTTTGCCTCTTGGAAGCTTTGGCAGAATGCTGAGCGTGCAGGCATCCTTGCTTTGCCTTTATTTTCGCTTGATTTTCATCCTCCCCTTCCCCCCCCCCGCCCTGTCCAGAGCACACGCCATGGCTACGTCATTTGTGGTGGACAGCCCTGATGTCACCTACACCTCTGACTTCATTGAGGCCCAGTACACCTACAACACTACTATGGTGTGCCAGGAGGAGGGCACCACTAAGGTAAGAGGTCAGGAACAGGTGAGTCAAGCTGCAGGCAAAGTCCCCTGAATGCTGCAGAAAGCTGGGCTCTTAAGTCAAGACTGGTTGCCAAACAGTAGGGGGGAGGGGGAGTTTTGGCCAAAGGTGAGGACATGGAAACTGGAGGGGGGAGGTGGAATTTGGGACTAGGCTGCTGTCACAAGGAGGAGGAGCCTTTGGTGCCAGTTGGCTGTCTCAGATTCACTGGTGTGGTCAGCCCAGGACCCTGTGTCAATGAGCAGAGTGCACAAACAGGCTACAGGAAGCAGAGCTTCTTTGTTCTGTATGTGCCGGCGGAGTTGCACAGAGCCCCTTGTCAGTTTCAACATTAATGAAGAGTTCTTTATTTAGCGAACTCCATTGTAGATAAGATAGATGAGAGATAGGGGTAGGCTGTAATCTAACTAGTTGGATGGATGCAGATTAGGGTTGCCAGGTCCCTTCGAGACACTGGCGGGGGGATGGAGAGGATGCTCCGGGAGCTGGGAGCATCATCCCCAATGTGCCAGTGTCACCAAAAGTGACGTTGTGCACCGTGCCTACATCACCTGGAAGTGATGTAGGCACATGGAGGGGGCACTCTGCTTTTTGAGCAAACCCCTATGGTAAAATTGCCCTCAAACCATAGTTTTGCCAAAAAACCAGAGTTCCCCCCACCACCACGTCACCAATGTGCCTACATAACTTCCAGGTGATGTAGGGATGTCGCTCCACGTTGCTGTTGGGGGGGGGGATTTCCTCCCGCAAAACCAGGGGATTCCCCTACCCCCCAACTGGGGACTAGGAATGCACCTGCATCCATGGTGGCAAAGATGGAGAGCAAACATGCTCCTTCTTTGTGTATGTGTGTGAGAGAGAAGATGTGAACAGAAGGAAGGAAGCAATTCCCTGAGAGTATCTGTCTATGCATCAAAGGGACAGAGGCAGAAGAGTAAACAGGAAGGAAACCCAGTTTGCCTGTCTATCTAGCTGACTCTCTCGTAAACCCCCCCCCCCTCTGGAGGCTGAGGCTAAGAGAGGGCATCTGGTGCTTCCCTTCCAACAGGCTGAAAGGGCAGTGTCTGTGTGGTACGGAATGCTTATGGGCATCCCACTGTTCAAGAAGCAAAACTGTCAGAATGTCTGCAGTCCAACTTCTGTGAGGGCAAGAGGGTCGTTTGGCTGCTGGTAAAAGCCTCATCCTGGCCTTGGGGAGACAATTGACTTAGTGAGGCTGGCTGAGTTCTCGTAAAGAGAAGCCTGGAATCTGCAGGAGGGAAGCCAAACAGAAGTGAGGCGCCAGGCAGTGAAGGTCTGGGGGTAGTATTTAGTTGTTTATTTATTTAATATTTATTTAAAACCTTTTAATGCTGCCTTTCCACCTGATCAGGGTACACCAGGCAGCAGTCATAACAAGCATTAAAATATTTGGCCAATCAAAATACATTTATAATTACAAAACAGATGCATGTGGGTCGCTACGTTGGTCGCCTATATCCAGAATTAAACTTTGTCGGTCTTAAAGGTGCCACTGGATGCAAAGTTTGTTTACAATTATAAATTCCATTAAAAACACGCAAACAGCACTAGAAGAAGAGCCACTAACTGTTATGCCAGAGGAAACGAAAAGTCTTCAGCCGTAGAGGGAGACGGACCGTCTCCCCGGGGAGGGATTGCCATTTTGGTGCTGTGACCAAGAAGGCCCTGTCTTGGGTCATCGTCCCCCCCAGCCTCAGAGGGTAGGTTCAAGCAGAGGTCATTTCGGGGGGGAACGCGGGGGATTGCAGTTCCTCCGGGTGAGGTATGGGTGGGGGCACATGACGAAGCCCCACCCCCTGCTTCCGGCCGCCCCGCTTCCGGCCCTCATTCAGCCAGGAGGAGTCAGGAGAAGAGGGAGGGTAAGTTGCTTCCTCCCTGCCTCTCCCCACCCCTGCCTGCCTGGGGCCAGGGAGGGCCTTCGCGGGGCTTCCTTGCACTCCCACCGGCCTTGCAGGTCCACCGCCGGGCCCCTCATGGGGCTTGGTAGTGGAGCTGGAAGGCCACAAGGACTCGATCGATGAGGGCTAGAAACTGGGGCGGTGGGGGTGGGGAGGTTGCTGAATTCTGTGTGAATGTGTGGGTTTTCTGCTCTGTCCAGCACTCTTGGCTTGTGGCTGAAATGGTGGGCTCAACCGGAGGCTGCTGCTGGGCTCAGGAGCACAATTCCTTACAGCCTGGAAGCAGCCGGCTTGGCTTGGCTTCTGCTAACATCACCTTGACTCTGCCCTTTGGTAATGACAAGGCAGAGGAGGGACTCCAAAAGGACCAAAGTGGGGCTGTTGCTGTCTTTGAGACCTTCGGCCCTCCTTGGCTTACAGTATCTAATGCGGGGGTGGGGTGGGGGTTCCCACAGGTGAAGCCCTGCTCCACTAAGCTCACCTTCCGCACGGAGAGGCATGTTCCAAAACTGGGGGTCATGCTGGTCGGCTGGGGCGGGAACAACGGCACCACGGTGACTGCGGCTGTCTTGGCGAATCGGCTGGAACTCTCCTGGACGACCAAGACAGGCACCAAGGTGAGTGTGTGCCATTCATCTTTTCATTATCAGGGCTGTCTCTGCTCTGTCTGCACCCCTGAAACCTTAAAAGCAGGTAGCCGTGACTGGCTCATGCTCTGTTGAGCTTTCTGCAGTTGCCAGGCACAGAGGCCGGGTTGGCGGGGCCCGTTCAGGAGTAGCCCCTTCGGTTGGGGAACTCCCTCCCTCCCTCCCTCCCTCTAGGCTCCTCCCCTGCAAGGCACTTTGGGAAGAGGCAAGAGGCAAAATCTTCCTGTGATGCTTGGCTGGGTTGGCTTGAGATGGCTGGGTGGGTACTTCTCCTCTTGTGGCCTGGCTGGGAAATTTAATTTCAGAATTAAATGGTGGCATCTCATAGGCCAAGAAGCCAGGGTGATGGGCACAAAGGAATAAAATGAAATTAACTCTCAGGCCCTCTTCCCCAAAATGAGTACTTAAAAAAAAAACTGTCTTAACTGCTGCAGGAGTAGGCATGGGCAGGTTTATTTTTTTTTAAACCTGATTTAATTTTCTTAGCTGCTTCAGGAACTTTGGGAGGCCTAGTCTAAAATGTGTTCAGCCTTCAGTCTGTGGCAGTGCTGAGTTATAAGTGGAGGATTTTCTGGTATATCTTTGGGATCTAATGGATTCCTTTGTCTTGTAGAAAGGCTTCTGGGTGTCTGTATCTGCCTTTCCTAACCGAAGGGGGAGGCATTCAGTTTGGGGGCAGGCCAGTTTACCTCCTGCCATCTTGCAAGGAGTGATGCCAGACTTCTTAGGGTTGCCACTCTCCAGGCAGTGGCTGGAGAGTTCCCAGGATTACGACTGGTCTCCAGATGAGAGAGGACACTTCCCCTGGGGAAAAAATGGCTGCACCGGAAGGTGGACTGTCTGGCATTATACCCTGCTGAGGTCCCTCCCTTCCTCAAGCCCGCCCGCTCGCCCGCCCTAGGCTCCATCCCCGAAATGTCCAGGAATTTCCCAGCCCGGAGCCGGCAGCCCTGAGACTTCTGCTTTCCCCTTTCCCTGAGGCTGTGCCTGAAATGGTCCCTTCCCAAGAGAGGCAGTTGAGCTGGGAGGGGCGGCCGATTTGTCGCAGGAGAGAGGGAAGGCCTGGCTGGGCGGAGGCTGCGCCGCCAGCGGCAAAGACACCTACCGAGAAAGGGTGTCAGATGATCCTCCCAGCGGAGGTCCCTTGAGGCAGCCCAGTCACCTGCCCACGTCTGTTGGGGGGCTGCTTGTCGTCCCTCGGCCAAGAATTGGCACGCCGTGAATATTCCACCACCTGCCAGCTCTCCTGGAAAGGGTCCTCCTCTCCCCCCCCCCCCCCCCCCGGCAAGCCTCACCCTTTTGCCATCCGTCTCTTCCTTGCTTTTGTCATGGCCAGGACAAGCTGCGCATTCCTAACTCGAAAGTGGAAGGCTTTCTGATCCGAGGGGACTCGGGAGGAGAAGTGCAGGTGGTTGTTCAGGGGGGAGGTAAAAATCCACCGGCCAAACTCTGTGCGGGGGGGTGTGTCAGGATCCACAGCAACACAATGAAGTACACGCTTTCAGGAAGGTTTTACTTTTATTGAAAAGCCATAGATGCAGTAACAGGAACACTGTTAGGAATGGCGGGCTACCTATGCGCATAATAGGATATAGGGCATTCATATGGGCCCCCTCCCCTAGCAATACCCAATTACATGGGCTCCCGCGCAAAAGCGGGCAATGGCAAGATTCTCCAACGGTAGCGAAGCTGGGAAACAGAATGATCCCACGCAAGGTAGACACCACAACTCCTCCAGCAACTCTTTACAGGTAAGCATTGCAGCTGTGAAGCAATTAAGCCCACGGGAAGGAATGCAAAGCAATTAAAAAGCCTCTCTCTGGCCGCTCTCTGCTCATGGCAGCCTTAGCTGACAGGGGCCCCCTCACCCTCCGCCCCCTCGCAGCAACTCAAGAACTGAAAAAGGAAATATTTGCTCCGCTGCAGCAGCAGAGGGACAGCAAGTGGGGGGGGGGGGTTCGGGGGGGGCTATTGACCCCTCTCCCTCTCCGTTTAGTGTACCCTGCTTCGTCCCAAGGGGCATGTCCCCACATCTGTCTCCACGAGGGGTCCTTCCTGCTCTCCGTAGCCCTTTTGCCTACCTCAGGGTTTTCTTTCACAAGAGTGCAGAGCCAGTTCCCTGGCTTGCTACAGGAGTTGCCAACCTCCAGGTCATGCCTGGATATCTCCTAGAATTGCAGCTCATCCCCAGAATACAGAGATCCGTTCCACTGGAGAAAATGGCTGGTTTGGAGGGTGGACTCTGTGGCTGCGTACCCATGCTGAGCGCTCCCTCCCTAAACCTCACCCTTCCCAGGCTCCATCCCCCCAAATCTCCAGGAATTTCCCAGCCCAGAGTTGGCGGCAACCCTCTGCTGGTTTTGATGAGGGGCTGAGCTGATTTGTCCCCTTCTGATTCCTTCTTGATATTGTGTGCGCTGCCATTGGCTTTGTGGCTGTTCAAAAGAGCTTGCGTTGGTGTGTCTGGTTCTCTCTCCTCTGGTTGCATTCTCGCAATGGCCCTATCGGGTAGAGAAGAGAGAGAGAGATCGGATAAGCAGAGGACAATCCCGCGAGCAGACATGGGGATCTGAACCCAGGTTTCCTGGGTGCCGGCCAGACACACCGTCATGCAGGCTCCGAGCTCTCTGAAACTGGCAGGCTGTCCATTATTGGGTAATGTTCTCCACGTGATGTGGTTAGTGGCCCCTCCCTCCCTCCCCATCCCCCCTCTCCCCTGCTGGTGCCAGCTCTCTCTCCTTCTGGCCCCTCAGCATGCCAACTATTACGGGTCCCTCTTGCAAGCCTCCACCGTGTCCCTGGGCACTGGCCCATCTGGAGAAGTTTACATTCCCTTCCGGGACCTCCTCCCTATGGTGCATCCCAATGACGTCGTCTTTGATGGTAGGTAGACTCAGGTGGGTCGCCGCGTTGGTCTGAAGCAACAGAACAGAGTTGGGAGTCCAGTCGGGCACCTCAAAGGCCAACAAAGCTAAGCTTGCACCCAGAATTAAACTTTGTTGGTCTTCAAGGTGCCTGACTGGACTCAGCCTTTCTTTGGAGGGTAGGTGTAAAGCTTGCTGTCTTGGCTACGAAAGGGGGGGTGCGACTAGTTGTGGGTCAGAGGGCAGCGGGCCTGAGAATAAAGGTGGCCAGCTGGGATTGGCAGGCGAAGCAGAGAGGCTGAGGGTGTCTCCACGCTCTGACTTTTGTGGGGTTTTAAGAATGTGGTTTTGGTTCAGGCGCGCTAACTTTTCACGGGGGATTTTGAAGTCAGAAGCCCAGGCTTCATAGTTGGCCAGCTGCGGAGCACAGACCTCCACGTGTCTTTTCCCTGGAGGGCGGCTTTGGCCTGTGCTGGCTGATCAGGGCTGTTCCCAGTCACAGCTTTTGCTTGGAGGGCCTGTCTTCTCCCCACTAGGGTGGGACATCTCGTGCCTGAACCTAGCAGACGCCATGAAGAGGGCCGCAGTCTTGGATTGGTCGCTGCAGCAGCAGCTCCTGCCATTCATGGAGGGCCTGAAGCCTCGGCCGGGCATCTACATCCCAGAGTTTATAGCTGCCAACCAGGAGAAGAGAGCAGACAACGTCCTGACGGGGACCAAGGCTGAGCAGGTGGGTGCCACAAAAGCACAGGCCGGGGGCTTTCTGGAGCCGCGGTCAGTCTTTCAGTTTAGAGGCAACCCAACCTGTGAATTTCTGCCTGCAAAGCAGGGGCTGTACCACTTCGGGGCAAATTTTTGAGGGGTTGCCTGGGGAGGTCTTGGAATGGGCTGAGAATATGGGGTTGCCAACCTCCAGGTGGTGCCTGGAGATTTCCCGGAACTGCTAATGTTGTCCAAACAACCGATGAGTTCCGTCAGAGAAATTGCCTGTGTTGGAGGATAGAGTCTATGGCATTGGTATACCAATGAGGTCCCTCCACAAACTCTGGATTCGCCAGGCTGCACGCCTAAATCACCAGGGATTTCCAACCTGGAGTTGGCAACTCCTACGTACAAAGTGCAACTTTCTGTGGCAGGAGAGCCAAATCCATTTTTGGTGCTCCCTATGGAAGCTTTGTGGTGGGGTATCGTCTGAGTGTCCCAAGTTAGTTAACCCCCTCCTCCAACTTTATGATGGAGTGTTTCTTCTTATCTAGGCTTCTCTCCCCCAAAAAAGTGTACACTCCTGTAAGGTAGGCCTGGTCTTCTGTTTCATATGTGGAAACTGAGGCTTGCTGCAGCTGGGAAGGAGATTTTCAACAAGCTTGATTTCTTTTTTTGGGGGGGGGGTAATAAAAAAAATAGTTGCATAGTGTAGGCTGAAGGGAATCCCTAGGGGCTCTCTGATTTGCGACTTGTTCTTTGAATTGCTGCTCTCTCAGGAGTGAAGTGATCCCAAAAGTTCAGTTGCTGACGCTGAGCAGTGTTTAGAAATGTGCCCACAGAAGGCTGAGGAGCCCCTGCTGGGCAGCTGGGAGTTCAGGGTGTGTCTGTTGCAGTCCCAAGCTGGCCCCAAAACTGCAGTCTGTGGCCGGGGCCTAAACCTTTGAAATCCCCCCCTCCCACCACCACCATAGGTGGCTCAGATCCGCCGTGACATTCGGGACTTCAAGAACTCCAGTGGCGTGGCCAAAGTGATCGTCCTCTGGACAGCCAACACGGAGCGGTTTTGCGACGTGCACCCCGGCGTCAATGATACGGCCGCCCACCTTCTGCAGGCCATCGAGGTGAGGCACCTGCCTGTCTCTTCTGCTCTGTGCTGGGATCTCGTTCCAGCCTTGGCGCCATGGGCCCGGTGCGCGCTGCAGATCTAAATGGGTTCTTCTGACCCTAATGGGTATGGTTTCTGGCTGAGGTGCTCTTGTCAAAGCGCGACGCTTTGCAAAACATGGGTCTCTCTCTCTGGTTGGCCTGACCTTGGTCGGAAACTGCCTGGTGCTACACTCTCGTCAAAGGAGATGTGGTTGAAGTGGCCTGCTTCCCTGGGGAGTGGGGAAGAGTCTGCTGCCCCCCTGAAGTTGTTGCTGTTGTTTCCCTCCCCCCAGCGTGGGCTAGAGGTGTCGCCTTCCACCCTCTACGCTGTGGCCAGCATCCTGGAGGGCTGTGCCTACATTAACGGCTCCCCGCAGAACACCTTCGTGCCAGGAGCTGTGGAGCTCGCAGTCCAAAGAGGGGTCTTCATTGCAGGCGATGACTTCAAGTCTGGCCAGACGAAGATCAAGTCTGTCCTGGTGGATTTCCTGATCAGCTCGGGGCTTAAGGTGAGTGAGGATGGGGGCCTGGGGGGGGGGCTAGGCCATTGGGTAGGCGGATGATGCTGAGCAGGTTGCGTGGGCCCCTGGTGTTGCCTCCCAGCACTGTTATTCAGAGGTTTATTGCCTCCGGACACCGAAGTTCCCTTTACTCACCATGGCTAATAGCCACTGACAGACCTCTCCTCGATGAATCCATCTGGCCCCTCTTAAGGCAGAGGCAAGTGGGAAGACCAGGATTTGTAGTTCAGTCTCGTAGCACGGTGCGCTTCAACCAGCTTTCTTAAGGCCAGGGCTCGTTTCCTGCTGGAGCGCACAGGAGCAATGCTCCGGCAGTAAGGAGTCCAGGAGGCGGGCACGTGCGGCAAGCCCCGCCCCCTGCTCCCAGCAGCCCTCAGTCGGGCCACGAGGAGCAAGAAGAAGCAAGGTGCAGAGGGGCCCCCCCCTTGACTTTCCTGGCCCGCGCCAAGGCGCAGGGCTGAGGAAAGGCCTTGCCCACCCACCCCTCGCCTTTCCAGGCCCACGGGAGCCCAGGGCGAGGCTGAAAGGGGCTTGGATCTCTTAGATTCTCCCCCTCCAAGCCTGGGGGAGCCGAGGGCAAGGGTTGCCTCCCCCTCCGCCCACCCTAGCCCGCAGGAGCCCAGGGCAAGGATGACAGGGCTTGGATCTAAGAGATCTCTTAGATCAAAGGGTGTGGCATATGCAAATAGGTTATGCTAATGAGCTGCACCTCTTTTTCCTACTGAATTACCTCTGCTTAAGGTACAGAAACTCGGCATGGGGGCACCTTTCCTTTAACCAGCCAGGGCTGGCTTCTCTCCTTTCCCCACAGCCAGTCTCCATCGTCAGCTACAACCATCTGGGCAACAATGATGGCCACAACCTTTCGGCGCCGGCCCAGTTCCGTTCCAAGGAGATCTCCAAGAGCAACGTGGTTGACGACATGGTGCAGTCCAACCCGGTCCTCTATGGGCCGGGGGAGCGGCCGGATCACTGTGTGCGTGGGTGGCGTGGCTGAGCTGGACATGTCAGGCTGCGGTCAGGAGGACGGGGGGAGGAAGCCGCCTCACTCTCTGTGGTGAAGGGGTGCCGGCCTCCAGGTGGGGCCTGACGATCCCCTGGAATTAAGACCGTATCTCCAGACTACAGAGAACAGGTCCCCTGGAGAAAATGGCTGCTTCGGAGGGTGGAGTCTGTGGGGTGTGCCGTAGAGTCTAGGAGGAACTGAAATCGCTCCCCAGGTTCCACCCCCAAATATCCAGGAATTCTTCAGCCTGGAATTGGCAACTCTGTCTGTGGCTCACAAGGGCCTATTTATCCCCGTTCCCCCCGCAGGTGGTCATCAAGTACGTGCCCTATGTGGGGGACAGCAAGCGGGCCCTGGACGAGTACACGTCAGAGATCGCTTTGGGTGGCACCAACACCATGGTGATACACAACACTTGTGAGGTGGGTGAAGAAGTACGTCGTGGCCAAGGGGCAGGGAGAGAGGATAGAGATGTGGCTGGCGTGAGGCCACAGGGCTGTCCCCCCCCCCTTTCCCTGAGCCGGGGGCCTGGGACAGGAAAAAGGGAGATGTTTGGGGTTGAGGCCAAATAGGTCCCTTTGGATTCTGCCCTGGGAGAACGGCTTGGTCACGGCCTCCCCACCCCCCACAGGACTCTCTCCTGGCCGCTCCCATCATCTTGGACCTGGTGATCCTCACTGAGCTCTGCCAGCGGATCCGCGTGGGTGTGGTGGGCGAGACGGAGCCGCAGCTCCTCCACAGCGTCCTGTCTCTGCTCAGCTTCCTCTGCAAGGCGCCCCTGGTCCCCCAGGGCGCCCCGGTGGTCAACGCCCTCTTCCGCCAGCGGGCCGCCATGGAGAACTTCTTCAGGTAGGTGCAGCAAGTCATGGCCCCAGGGCAACTGATCCCGGGCTTGAACCAGGACAAGACAGGTAGCCCCCCCTCCCCCTCCCCCTCC